GGGGGGGGGGGTCGATTTCAGAGTTTATTGTAATTTGAACGATTTTATATTTTTAAATAATATTTAGATATTTATGCTTACCCTTGAATACAAGCCACCAGATCTCCCGCGGACATCAAGCTTTTCTCCGGGACCAGGTTAAGCTTTTCTCCATGTACTGGTTTAGCTTTGCTAATTTTAATCCGGTCAACTTTATACAGGTTTTAACCATTGACTCAGACTTAGAATCAGATTTAAGGTTTTTCAGTTTTCTTCACGGATAAAAGTTCAGACAATGTTCAGATTTACATTTGAAAGAATGTATATTGACAAATCTTACACTTCACTTTATCTGCTACAAGATTAAATTGACGAATTCTTGGTGCGGATAGTGATACACTCTAGCAACATTTCAAGGTTAATTTTCTTGATAAATATCAAAAATTTTAAAATGTTCTGTTTCTTATTAAACTAGAAGGACGGATGTGGTTTAACTAAAACTTCCTTGATTCAGGTTTCTTTATTTGAAGTTTAACGGAGGCCAGGAGGCCTAGTGTCCTAGTCAGCCTCTGTATCCTAACATCCCAGCCTGGGAACTGGCCTCTGTCCTCTTACACCCTCTCTCTCTTTCTCCGTCTCTCTCTGTTCTCTTTCAAGTCTCGTCTCGTCTATCTCCCTGACTAACTGCCTGACTGCCTATAATATGTAAGAAGGCCGGTGCTGCTTTCTCCGGGCTATGTCTATGTATGGGGGGGAAGGAGTTAACGAATACTTCTGTCCTGAATTTTTCATCAATTTATTTTTACAAGAATGAAAAATTCTCACAATTAAAAATTATACAAAGATGATTTTTTAACAGTTTCTTTCGATTCACAGAACTTTTTCTTTGGTTTTAAACTTACTTTTCCCTTTTTATAATAAGGTTTTTAAACTTATAAGTTTTTTTTCTTTCACTGTAACCGTCTTTTAACAATTTTTATTCATTCATTTGCAAATGTTAGTAGTTATTTTCATATTCTTTTCTCTTCGTACTCTTAGATCTACTCCAAGGTGTAAATGAAGATATAAACTGAAATTGTACTTGTAATAGAGAATGTACTTGATGTCTGTGTACTCTGGAAGGATGTACTATATGTACTGGTTTCTGCACTCCTGTATGCAGGCCCGA